GCTCAGCCGCACGCGGGCACCCGCGCCCGCCGCCGCCGCCGCCGCCCCGGGCGGGGGCCGGCCCGTCACGGCGCCGAGCCAATCAGCACCGAGGCGGGGGGGACGCGGGGCCCCGCGGACACCGGCCCGGCCCCGCCGCCGCACGTGCGCACGCTCGCACCTTCGCGCGCCCCCGCGCCCGCCGGCCCCACGTGGACCCAGCAGACAGGACACCCGCGACACCGGGCCCACAGACCCGGGGGATGGCCCTGAGGACATCCGCCAGCACTCCCCTCCCACGCACGAGCCTCAGACACCCGGAGTGCCTGGCGAGGTGACAGCAGGCACACGCTGGTTCACGGGCAGAGGCGCAGAGGCTGGGGCTAGAGAGAAAGTCCAAGGCACTTTTAGTTTAAAAGAAAAAAAAAAAAAACCTCCCGCCCCAACCAAAGGACTAGACAGCGGCCCCCCTGGTTTACGGAGGCCTGAGTGGGTGGTGGCCTAAGGCACCAGACAGACAAGCTCTTAAATCCTGGCTGTGTGACCTTGGGCAAATTTCTTAACCTCTCTGAGCCTCAACTTCCATGTGTGTAAAGCTGGAATAACAGTGCCCAGTCCTGGGGCAGTTTTGAGAATTAAATTAAAAGGTTCCGGTAAGTCCTTGGCGCACTGCCAGGCACCTAGCCAAGTGCCCAGCAATGGCAGCTGCTCTCTAGTGCCCGGACCTTCCACACCTCCAGTTCCGTCCCAGGAGCAGGGGTCTCATCCCGGACAGGCTTTGTGGTGGGGTGGGGAGATGGTGACAGGGATATAGGGCTCCCGCCCGGGCTGGACTTGCCATCCCCAAGTCCCCATGCAGCCAGAGGACCAAGCAGTCCAATCAGCAGGGAGCTTCCGACTGGCCCAGCCATTGTTCAGCCCTCTGCCTTCACTCCCAGCTCCTGTGTCGTCACCTGGGAAGACTTGGGGTCCGTGACTGGAGGTCCCAAGAATGATAAAGGCCATTGAGGGAGCATGTGCCGGGTGCCAGACGTCGTAGGAGCTTTCTGCACTTGTCTAGCTTAAACCTCAGCCGGCCTGCAGGGAGGGGCCACTAAGGACACTGACACTGAGAAAGGCTGTCACTCACTCGCTGAAGGGCACACAGTGGGCCAGGTGCTGGCGAGCTGTCAGCCCAGGTCCACTGACTCCAAAGCCCGTGGCTTCCCTGTGCGTCTTTCTTCCCACGGAAACCAGGAAGGCAGCTCCATTCCAGAGCCTCTCCCTAGCAGCTCAGACCAACCGCCTCCAAAATGCAGTGAGCCTCCTGTCACCAGAGGCATCCAAGCAGATGCCAGCCAGAGGTTGTTCACAGATGCCATGACGGAGGCAGAGGGGCAGAGGAGCTGATTCCACCAGATCCAGAGTGACACATTCAAATGCCCACGTGAAACAGGTGGGTGCCCTCCTGCAGCCGGCAGGGAGAGTGTCCCAGCTGCAGCCGACACTGCCCGTGGTCGCGTGAGCCCAGTTTTCTGCATCTTCAAGAGCAGTCGGGAATCTAGAGCTTTATGGGGCGTCTCCTGACTTTTAAACTTAATAGCTAATGCAGACTTGCTTGCTTTCTTTCTGGTTTTCAGTATGGAGGGGCAGAACCCCGGGGCAGGGTGGGGGGCTCTACCACCCAGCGATCTCCCCAGCCCTTTTTAAAATTTTATTTTGAGACAGGGTCTGGCTAAGTTGCCCAGGTTGGCCTTGAACTTGTGATCCTCCTGCCTCTGCCTCCTGAGAAGCTGAGGTTACAGGTGTGTGCACTGGCCCGGGCCTAATGGGGGCGCCAGGCCGGGTGGAGCAGTGGAAGGAGTGGCCTCAGCCCATCGGCCCCCAGGCTGCGCTTCCAGACTCCTCAAATGAAAGAGGCCGTGGCTGGGAAGTCACTCCTGGAGCATCAGGAAAAACTCAGTGTGAAGGTCACGGTCATAAGTGCCTGTGGATGTCCCCTACCCCAGCCACAGGCAGAAGCCAGTGAATGCAGATCCTATAGAAATGGTGTGGCCCTTCCCCTCCTCCTCTCAGGACAGAGAGCCTGGGCAGGGCCAGGACTGAGGGGGGGAAGCCCTGAGAGGGGCCGGAGTGGGATTTGTGATAAACCACTGGATTCTGAGCTGGGCGGGCAGAGTGCACAGCAAGGGGCTGGCTGGGTCTTCTTGCTGCACGTGAGGTGCCCTGGGAATCTTTGTTGAGTGACTAAGTGACCCATGAACAGACATCCCAGAGGCCCCCACCCCACTGACCAGGGACACGGGGCTGGTGTTGCTGGAGCCCTTCCTGGGTTTCTGGACGGCTCTTGGTTTAGGTTGCCCTCAGGTGCTCTGCTCATATCCACCGCTGGGGTTCCTCCAGGACCCTCCATGAACCCAAGCAGCTCACGGAGCAGGCAGGTTGGGCTGGGGGTGGGCAGGGCTGGACGTGGCCTCTCAGGGCAGCCACCAAGCCAGTCCTGTGCCTGCTCCCAGACCCTCCGACACCCACCGTTTCCCTCCTGGGTGGGGACAGGAGTGTCCCTCCAAAACCTGTCTTCTCCCTTCACCTTTCTGAGCCTCCGTTTCCCCAGCTAGGAGCCAAGGTCCGTGTCACGGGGGTGCGGTGAGGTGTGAGCGGGTGTGCAGGTGGGGACGTGCCTGGAAGCCCGTGGGGAGCCCTGAGATTGGGGGGCGCCACTGTTTTAAAGGAAGAGCTGGAGCTGAGTGGCTCTGGAGCCCCAGGGGCAGCAGTTGAGGCACAGGCAAGAGAAGATGCGAACGACGGGGTCACCATGAAGTCCCTGCCCATCCCAGAGCCACCCTGGCCACTGCCATGAACATCTGGGTGCCCTCAGCTGCTTACTCAGAGCAGGACCTGGGCTGCCACCAAGAACCCCTAAGGGACGTCTCCATCCTGGCACCATGCTCCCTGCACTCAGCGGGCAGGAGGGGCGCAGGCCACTGGCACGGAAGTCTCTGCCCCCCGCTGGCTGGAGGACAGAGCCGGCAGGGGAGAGCTCTCGGAAGAAACTGGATTCCTAACAGGGCCCAGGGGGTTTGCCCCCCAGGGCCTCGGTTTGCCCACTGATGACAGCCTGCAGTGGGCGTGGGACCAGGGGTGGCTGCTGGGTCCCGGGTAACAGAGGTGCCCTTGCAAAGCTGCCGGCTAGAGGAGAGGCAGCCGGGGAAGCAGCCTGTGTCCCACAGGGACTTCCACCCAGCCCTGACGCATGTGTGTAAACTTTGTCCTCCACCCCGACGTCCAGGTGGAGGTCCAAGACAGAAATACAGCCTGTGAGCCAGCGCAGCAGTGCAGGACTGTAATCCCAGCGACTCGGGAGGCTGAGCCAGGAGGACTGCAAGTTCAAGACCAGCCTCAGCCACTTAGACACTGTCTCAAAATTTTTAAATAAATAAATGAATAAAATGGATTGTGTGCATGAGGCCCTGCAACCTCCAGTACTGCATAAAAGAAAAAGAGAGAGAGAGAGAGAGGAAGAAAGAAAAAGAAATACAGTGTGTGCCACATATGTAATTTGAATTTTTCCAGTATCTCATTAAAAATTAAATGTAAGAATGTATTTGTTGACTGAATGAATGCTGCCTGGCACGTGATATTAATTTATTAATCACTTATTTGGCAATCATGTAGTGGGCCTGTGACACTGGGCCAGGTGCTGACCTAAGCTGGTGGACCACACACACACACCTGGTCACTTATATAAGCACCAAAACTGTAAAATAAAATTTATAATTTAGAAAAAAAAACCTTTCTTTTTGGACTGGGGATTGAACCCAGGGGTACTCTATCACTAAGCTACACCCCCATCCCTTTTTTATTTTTATCTTAAGACAGGGCCTCACTGAGTTGCAGAGGCTGGCATTGAACTTGGGATCTTCCTGCCTCAGCCTCAGAGTCGCTGGGATTACAGGCGTGCGCCACCGCACCTTTTGTCCAGAATATATCTAAAAAGTCATTTATAAGCATAAAATTCTGAATGTAATTTGGTCCTTTCTCAGTGGCATGGAGTCATCATTATGAACAAAGTGTCATCGGCTGCTGTGGCGAAGGACCCAGGGATGAGGTGGTGGGAACCCAGCTGGGGGCGGGAGACAGGTGCCCTCAGGGCTGGGGAGACAGGAGACCCATTTGCCCTGCACCAAACCACCCCGGCTGCTCTGCCTTGTCTTTTCCCTCCGGCTGCTGCTTCTGCTGAAGGGAGACAGTTTCTACCTCCTCCTAAATAGCTGTCTCTCATCTATTGTGGACTTTAAAAAAAAAAAAAAAGTTCATGCAGGTAGAATGGTACGTAAAGCAGGAGTCCATGGGTTCTAAGTGAGGGACTCGGCCAGGACTAAGAATGAGGTCAGTGTCAGTGGTGGAGGCATCCTGCAGGTCCCTCCTGCCCATTCCTGGCTGTTCTCGGGATATTTGCTCTCAGGATATTCGCTCTCAGGTTGGGGGTAAGTGAGGTGTTGTCATAAATACATAAGAGGCTTATTAATGGCCGGGCATGCACAGACTAATTGCTTCCTCCTGTTTACACACAATCAATCACTCGCAGCTTTGGAGCCACTGGCAGAGCGGAGCAGGAAGATGCCCGGGTGGCGACGGGCCTGGGCGGCTCCATCCTTCAGGTTCAAGGCTGCCCTGTCCTAAAAAGCAAAGCCAACGCATCCACCCCTCGTTCCCCTGGCCGGCCGCCCTCTCCCCCTCCTGCTTCCCAGCGGTCAGCTCCCAGGCCGCCTCCTCTCTGCTCACCTGCACCCTCCCCGCGTTCCAGAATCCACCAGCCGCACTTCCTCTCTGCTGGGTGCGCCTGGACCTCCCAGCCCTGGGGGTCACACCACCAGAAAATGTCTGGAGCGCCCGCCCTCAGCCCCGTCCCCGCCACACTGGCTGGCTGAGCCCCCTCCGCCTCGCGCAGGGCGGCTTTAGGGCCCACATCCCTTCACCCTGCCAATATCGGAGCCCTCCTGGAGGCTGAGGCTGCTCTGTGGGTAAAGACCCACATAGTCCCCAAGCCCGAGGGTCCTGTCCAGATGGCCTGGACCCTCCCTTGCTGCCCTTCTTTGCTGGCCGCGCCCTCGTCCGCCTCCTGCCCGTCACGCCCGGCTCATCCTTCGGCTCAGTTCAGGACCCGACTCCTGGGGAGGCTGCCCCGGCCA